CACCCAGCCATGGACACTCTTCGCATTCGGCATGCCCAACAGAAGCAAGTACTTGGACTAGAAGTTACCCAGTAATTCACAGTCCAGTGGGAACGATCCAAACACCTCTTAAATATTTGTTAGATTTTGGCATGCTACAGACTATGAACAAAATATAGATCGATAAGAATACATTATCATATATGGCGATCTCTTCAGTGTAACATATTTATGTACAGATACAGCATACCCTTTGGGCTCTACGCGTACTGGATGGAGAGAAAAAAAATAGCGCAATGAACGTCGTCATATGGCTCTATTCCCGTTCCGTTCTCTACGTTCCGTTCCTCTGTGCACTCATAAAAACAAAGCAGAAAAGCTCGGCGAAAACTGTTTTTTCGACGTTCGCTCATTCCCCTTTTTCCCAAATTTGCCTTTTTTTTTAGTGTCTTCGGTGTTTAGTTTTGGGTCATTGCGCATTGTTATTGTTTTGTCAGGAGAGAGGGCATAGGCTGCATATTTGTTCTACGGCCATTGCAGCCCAAAAAACGCCCACAACAGCCAAGAAAGAAAGAGATAGGCTGGCCAAGGTACAGAGAGAAAGAGAGAGAGAGAGAGAGAGAGCGCTCGAGAGGGGAAGAGGTACTCGCAGTGCGATGCTGTGCAGTGTCTCGTTATCCATTGAAAACTTTGCCTGTGCACCAATTCTGTTTGCGTTTCTTTTTCGAGCCTCTTGTTTTTTGGCGTGCTACTCTTTCGGAACAAGGATCCATTAACAGTGTAAATGCTATACTGATTTAGTCTATCTATCCATAAAGTTCTTTATTAAGTATTTAATTTTCGCTCAGAGTTTTACCTTATTTGAATAGCCATTACATATTTAGATTCAGATTCTTATAGAGCATCCAAACTTCTCTATGCCTCAACCACATTCTTCATTTTTGTTCACTTTTCCAAATAACAGTAATTGCTGCCATCATGTTTTGTGTGTGTGTGAGGGGGCGAGCGGGTATGTGTGTGCCACAGGGATCCTTGAATTGTTGCTCTAAATGGCGAAAATTGTTGTTGCCTTTGCTTTGGTTGTCAGCTCGCAGCTCCCAATCCATTTCAATTGCTGCCTCGAATTCGGCTAATCACAAACAAACTTGATAAGCTTAAAACTATATTTTAAGCCTTTTGTTTTGGAGGGCGGACTCCCTAATTAAAGAGGAAGTTGCGAAAGCATTTTCGACCATCGGCCCCGTCAACTTAACTAACAACCCAACTTGCCTTTTAATGACTTTGACTTTTAATTTAATTTAGCGCATACCTGAAAAGTTCTCTCTTTGCCTTTTAAGCTGCTACCAGCTACCGCGTGCGCCCCTCTGCGCCCTTCCAGAGTTACAGACTTTTCTGAAATCATTTTTCGAACTGCATTTGCATTAAAATACACTCCAAGCTGGACCTGGAGGAGTACCTACCGCTTTTGCCCTATCCTTTTTGATGCAAAAGTTTGCTCACAGTTAAGAATAACATTACTTAAGCTTCCTCTCTCCTGGAATTATCAACAACATGTCAAACTGCCAAAAAGTGTGCAACTCTAAAACGCACTAAGTGCTGCAACTTTGGGTGTTGATAGTTGGGCTTGAATCCACGCCGTTGTTGGCTTTAAAAAGGGTAATATAAAATGATTATCTAAACTGCTCTAAAAAGATTTTATAAGAGCAAAAGGAGCAAAAGAAATTAATATTTAATTGAAATCTTGTTGTCTTCAGAAATATCCTAAAAATAAAATTTATTTAATTTATTTTCCATTTACTTCAAGCCTTTCGCTACTGGCTTTTTGATTGCCAGCAGCCCTTCAAAAAAGCTAATTTAATTCACATTTCGGCTTTGTTTTAATTGAATGCATAAATTAAAAATTCCTGCATGTGTGTGCGAGTCTGTCTGTGGCTCTAATTAAACGCCCCATTGCCTAAACACACTCCCACTCTGGCGCCCTCTGTCCCTGCCACTCAATCACTTTCGCTTAATCAGCGGAGGGTGTCGGCACAGGTAAGCCGAGTCGCGCCGCAACTCCTCCCAATAAAGCAACGAAGGATATTCCTCAGGCCACGAAAGGAGCCCAGGGCCCTGGGCCAAGGAGAAGCTGATTGCTTAATAATATTTTGTGATGATGTGAATTTACTTTTATTTCTCATTTGGGAGAAAGCCAACCCCAAACACTCTGGCTCCCCTTCATCATTGGCTTTTGGGGGCAAATCAGCTCAGGGACCCCGAAACAGGTGACAGAATTCCTTTTTTCTTTTTTTGGGGAGCGTGTGAAGATTGCTGCGTTGCCAAAACATGTGTAAATGTTCATAAGAGTGTGTGTTTGTTTGCGATTCCCTTTTGTTTTCTTCAATGTGGAATCGGTTTTCGTTACGTTTTTGGGGTTGAATGTGCAGGCACCTTGTTCCGCGTTCTGCGGCATTTGTTTGCCTCAGCGATAAAAATGTAAATTTATGAAGTTTTAATCAATTTGGGGAATTCTCGCTTTCGTTCTTTGTCGCCGTTTTTTTTTCGGCTCTTTGTTCTGTCGTTTGTTTGCTGGCCCCGAAAGGCAAACACAGACGGCAGACAACAGAAATTGCGTTTCTGCGAAGCATTTAAAACATATTCCCGGCTTTTTCGGACCACTTTTCCTTTTTTCGTTTTTGTTTTGTCGGCAGCCGTGTAAAGCGACGCACCATAAAGACCCTAATAAAATTTTAATTTAGTGTTATTTGTCACCAGAGGGCACACAAACCCGTAATACAGATGAATGTATCTTACTTTGGGCTGTACTGGTTTCCCTTTTTGCAAGAGTTTGGTGTTAAGTTGTGAAAGTTTGCCCCAAATGAATTGTGAAGTGGAGCTGTCCTGCTATAAGAAGTGGCTCTTGAAAATTGGTAATTTTATGATTTACTCAAACAATTCATAATATTTTATTGAACTAATTGACACGCCGCAACGCGGCACACACTCGCACTCGTAAATATTGAGCGACGTAACATTATATTTATTATTTAATTACCATAAAGCAAATACAGGAATATCCTGGCAGCTCCCGAACAAATTGATTGTTTATTGCAGACACACATTAGCAGACGCAGTGGCAATTTCAGTCACAGTTATTGTATTTCGGCACTGTCACATGCTGCGTACACGCAATGTGGCGAAGAGATTCCGGCCTCCCGAAGGCAAAACCAAAGCCGCCACAAATAATTCACCAGCCGGGATGGTGGGGATGGGAGTTATGAAACACAACCGCTGGCCAAGGCGAATTATGAACGGGGACTAGAACAAAATGGAGAGCGCAAGTGCGAGTCGAAGTGGTAGTGGTGGTGAGGGAGGTAGGAAGCAAGAGCGGATGCTGTGAGACTGTCACAACTGCGGCAACAGTAATTGCCAATGTTCACTGTCCACGAGACCAGTACAATCCTGTCGACCATTTGGGAAGCGCGCTGCCTTTTCTGCTTTATTAATGCACTTTATAGCTGGGTGGCGAGTGGAGGACAGGGAGCATAGTGGGTGATTTGGTGGTTTTAGCGGCTCGGTGTCAGTAGGTGCGGACTACATAACTCCCAGCATAATTTTAATGTGCGTGGCAGCAACGAGAACAAACTAAACAACAAGCATAAAACAAAAAGGTTTGGAAACAAAGTGCCAGCCATGGGAACAACCGAATGCCCTATAAACATTCTCCTTCTCTATCCCTATCGAAAATATTCACAAAGATAAAGAGCTCTATTCTACCGTATAAAACAGGGGAAAAAATACTCGTAAAAAACCAAGGATGGTACAACGGAAACAAAAGAGAGCGGGCCAAGTGGGGATATGCTCGTACTCGTGCTGGTTGTATTGTCACTGTTTAGTTGGTAGTGGTTATTTATGTGCCATTAGCAAGTACCAAAACGCATTTGGAGGTTGGGTAAGGAGCAGGCCTACTCCACTCGATTTATGCTCCAAGCGGCACGGCCAAAATGGCTCATAAATTCTGGCTGCACGACGAAAAGTGTGCAACTGGTTTCAATATTTCGGCGTCTCTTATTATCAACAGCAATCATTTATACCTCTCAGTGCTCCTCCTCTTCGTGTGCTTCTTTTTTATACACACACACACACACACGCACACATACATAGATGCTCTCGAGTCTCATTGTCGAGTCGTGGGCCTGTTTTATCGGCGTTTGTTTTACTTCCGACATCGGAACCAGAAACGGAAATTTCTCATTTCAGTACATTTCCGCCTCGCGCGAGCACACACACACGCAGACAAGAGTGCTGGTGGAGAGACAGAGGGAAAGAAGAGAGGTTGAGTAGGGGAAACATATGCAGATCGTATTCATAATATGGTGGATAGGGTAAGAGTAGGTCGGGTTTGCTTAAAATGAAAAATAAACAGGAGAATCGTATCCAAAGGCAGGGCACAAGTATCATTGTAACAAATATGCCTGTATTAGAAACGATAAAAGTATACAAGGCAGTAGCTAGAGGAGAAAGGAGAAATGAGAAGTGGCAACGAGAACAAGCACAGAAAATCGCCAGCAAAATGTTTTAAAAACTGCCAAAGGCGTAATTTTTCCTTTCAAGTCTTCGCTTTTGTCTTTGGCTAAGGAATTTTCCCAGAACTTTGACTTGATATTGCGCATGATGGAGGAGGGTCTCGGGGCCGAAGAGTCGGAGAGTCTAGCTACTAGGTCGATGGCAGTTGACATCGGGTTGTTGTTTTACATATTTCCCCTCATGTTTATTGTAATTTTCTCTTTGTTGTTCATTTACGAGTATGTCATTGTGTTACTGTGATTTTCTTGTGTCTAATGCCAACATGTGGATACAAGCATTTCAACGTCAATGTGAACGCTGACCAACTTAGAGTGCGTTCATAAGTAAAGTAAAGTGCTTTAAATTATTTTAAATATTTGTATCTGACATCTAAAACAAAATCAACGTAGTAATTCATCTAGTACTCGCATGAGCTTAGTTTCGGAATCTACAAAAATTAGTTTCTCGACAGTAAGAAGAAATAATTATTTCAATATTTATTCAGAGATGAATTCAGCGATAGATCTAATATCTGCGGTGGAAGGAACAACCCACAACGCAATTTCAATGGATTCCACAACTGTTCAGGAATCGTTAGCAAGCCAAGCTTCGCCTGTGGCCAACTCAACCCCAATTCGGGCTGGGCGACTGACCGGTGCCTTTAACTCTCCGTTCATGCCTCGCATTCCACTATCTTTGGCCCACATCAAGGGACGATCAGGTGTTATTAGACAGCCTTCGGTTGTCTACTCGCCGAATTTCTTGCGTCGCATACCCAGAACTTTTTCGCAGATCAAGGGACGACCACGTAGAAAAATTCCCCAAAATCTTAATCCAAATGCAAAATATACTTCGAGTTTGAATGAAACCAACTCATCGCCCGTGCCTCCTGTCAGCACTTCCCTTGAGCACGTGAGTATATATTGAAAAACTAAAACCTATTGTAAGTAATTGTTCCACTCAGTTGTTTGAAGCTGAATTGGTAGACGTGGAAGTGGTTGGGTCAGCTGTGGAAGCAGCTGGGTCAGCTGCAGAAGTTTTTGGAACAACATTTACACTCCTTGGAGAAGCTATGCTCTCGGAGGAGCTGCGGGTGACAGAGCCACAAGCCCTGCCAGCGCCGGAGGAGATGACTGACACAAAATCCGCATTCCCATGTTCTATATCATAATCAAATAACATTTAAAGAAAACACAAAACTGTTGTTGTTGTTGCCCCTAACACCACATAATGTACTACAAAATCCTTCAATTAACTTTGGCGCTGCATAAATAAAATATATTACACCTCCCCGACTCTCAGTATCAAAGATGTCGAGGGTCTAGAAAACGTTGCGTTAATTTAACACGTAGATTGGTATTAGGGAGTCTCCTACCCATTTATTCGCTCACCTGTACAACTCTTTTCATTATGTTGCCCAGAACTTCCACTCGAGTGAATTTCTGGGCGAACGAATTCAATTTGCATATTTTGACAGAAGAGCCGAACGGAGAACAAAAAATGTGACCCAGAAGAGAAATGAATGCCTGGCGCTAATTACAAGAATTTATTGAAATCAAAAGTGTCCACTGGCAGAGAGTTTGGGGGAGGGCAAAAGAATGGCCTGCGATGGGTGGTGAAAATCAGCTTTTCCCCTACCAGGGCTGAGCGAACGGGTCTTTTGGGCTCCAATTATTGACACTTGACCAAACGGCCAAGCGACCAAAATGGTAATTTCTATTAAAAACTTTACGAACAATTTTTGTTGGAAAGAATTTTCTCTGATACTTTTTCTCCTGTTTTTTGGGTCATTTTTGTTTGAAGCCAACGAAGTAATGAAAGTGCTGGGACGAACAGAAAAGTTTTCGATTTCAGTGCTTTTACAAATTGGCATTAATTAATTTTCAATGTTTTTTTCGCCTCTTTTTATTCTTAGTCTCGCACTTGGAGTTTTTTGGCAAATTGCATTTGGTTTTTAATGAAAAATATTTACCAATTTGTACGGCATCAAAAAACACTGAAGGGGCAGCGGAGTTTACATTCTATTCCTAATCCTACAGAATCCAGCAGTACAGCAAGGGAAACTCAACTAAACACATAAATACAGTCAAATATATACACATCTCAACACTGGTGTTGTTCTTGAACTCGCTGCATACTTTTTTCAATTAAAACCATCCCCAGCTTGGAGCCACAAATACATTTTTGTGTGTGTTTTTTTTCTACTTTTTTTGGATTTACCGAGCTGCAAAATATAATCTTTCATTTCGGCGGGACCCTGCTCTACCTTCAACTGTGAGAGTCATATAAATAATTCCTTTTCATTATATTTTTGTACAACTTTTCGCGCGTGTTCTTTTTTTTATGCTACTTGTTTCGTATCTTCTTGCGGCTGGCCATGTGCCTAATATGAATTTTATGCAAAAAGCGCTTTGGTATGGTTGGGCAAGGGCATGGGCACGGGCTCTAGAGAGATAGGAGGAAGCCTGGCTTTGGCCATAATGCTTAACAGGTTGTGTTACCCTTTTTTACCTCGGCGTGTGGCATTAAAAAATTTAATGTTGGTATTATGGCACGCGAAACTGTTAAAAGAAATTCGTGGAAGAATGTTAAAGAAACAAAAATATAAAACCGTTCCCTCATTCATAAAGTTAACCATTTATCCATATTTATACTGTTAATAAGTTGGGTACAAATTTGGAAAAATCATTAAAAAAAGAAAGCAGGTGTATGGGTGAGCTTAAGACTTTATGCTGCCTGAACTTCCATCGCTTTTCTCAGATTTTGCAGTTAAGTATTGTGTTGGGGTCACCAGGTTAGACACCTTTCTTCTTTGTTGCATCTGAGAGACTAAGATCATTCAATTAATGCTCTTTAAAATCGATAATCTCCAAGTTGTTCCCAAAGTTCCGGCCATTCTTTATCATCATGCCAAACATTAGGAAATTTACAAACTGCTAGAAAACTTTTGTGTTGTTTTATTGCAACCAACATCAGTTGGCCAAATATAAAAACTTTTCAGCACAGTATCTATGTACATCTATGTACATAGATACATATATGTATGTACATATATGTGAAAAAAAGTGTCCAGTAAAGTCGTGTGAAGAAAAGTTTTCCTCGCAGAAAGGGGCGAGGGCTATAAACTTGAGTTTGCAGAGTGGTTTTTTGTTTTCCCCAACACGCTTCGCAGTTCGATGTGGTCAAGTTTTGCTCACTAAGCGAAACTAATGTCAAAGTGGCGAAGCGCGAAAAGAGTTGCTCCACTCCGCTCTGCTCCAGCCAGCCCCCACGACGGGAAAATGTTGGAAAACTAAGAAAAATGAGACGATAATGGCTGCGATATTACTCCAAAAGCAGAGTGCTCTGGGCTCCTCATAAAGATGGAGGTTTTATTACATCAAACTTCGGCCCCGAACCATAGAAATCAAATTCGCTAATCATCGGATCTGACTTACTTATATTCGTACAGGATTATACATACTCGTACATATGTATGTACATCTCCACCAAGGCCATAAATCACTTTGCGTAAAAATAGAATCAGATTTAAATGAATGCGGCAAACAAACCGATAAGTAGTATTCATTAGGGTCAGTCTGTCGTAAACAATGCACAATAATAAATAATATTGGAGCTACCTTTTGTATTTGATTTCAAAAGGGCCCCGCCATGCTCCACTTTCTATGGAAGACCTCTTCATTCCTCGTCGCCTTTGTTCGTGCCACTTCTGGCCACATTGACAATTTGGCGGAAAATTTGAGCACGTGGAGCAGCTGAATTTCATTGATGAGCTCGACAATTCTTGGCAATGTCAAAAGTGAAAGAGAGATGACGAAATGACTTCTGAAGCTTTGACTCTGCGTGGGTGTCAAAGAATTCAATACTTTGGTGTGTACTTACGAGACTAGCCATGTTCTTGCATGGTTGTCAAAGGTATTCACATTTTGCTTTGATCCCATTTCCAGCTAACCTTAAATTATGAAGCACCCAAATTCCATACCATAACCATAACCATCTTTGGGCCATATGTCACATGGTGAAAGCCAACGAGTAAAAACGAATGCCACATATTTGCGGAACATAAATTTCAAACGCCAAAAGTCAAAAACATACCACTTTTACCATATTTTCTCTTTCTCTCGACTCTCCCAAGACGATGCACGGTAAGCCGAAATGTTTTTCCATAACGCCTCTCAAAGCAGAGGTTGTGGGCGGCGGCCAGTGGCCCTGCTTTATGTATATCCACCATGCTAATGCCAAGCCACTAAAACACACATTTTGCTCTACGGCAAAAGTAAAGAATCGCCAGCCAAATTGAAAACTACGCTGTCAGGGTTCAGCGCAAGTTTTTTAAATAAATCTGGAACAGCTGGCACCACTGCATGGAGGCAAGACCACAGAAATATCCAAAGGTACAAAATTTGTCGAACAACAGAAAAAATTGTAAAAGTAAACTGCAAATTTTGTTTGTTCTCTCTTTTTATTTACAAACAATAAGTAAATTGTATAATTAATATTAAATTAACAGAAATAGCAGTTTTCCAATGAGCCCTGCTATTATATATAACATCTTTTCAGTTTGTTGGATTTATCTATCGGGGAGATCGAGAATTTGGTATCTTTTCAGTCTTCTTACTGTTAAGCTATTGTCTAATAGACTACATAGGCTACATTATTTTCGTGGTTGTGGAGTCTGTCAAAGTGTTTCTTACTAGTTTTCTTTATTTTCGTGCCGCACAACGTCTTGCAACCGACCGCATAAGGAATCGGCGTGCTGCCACCGCCACTCGAAATGATACTAGTAGCGCCGTACAACGTCCTGCAAACCAACCGTGCTGCCAAGGCTGCCACCGCTGCCACCGCCACCCGAAATGCTAATAGTAGCGCCGTACAACAGGTGGAGGTGGCAGCACGCCGATGCGTGCTGCTCACACACACAGTTCAACATTTTAAAGTGAAAAATTCCGCAATTGTCGCACACACACACACATAGAGAAATAAGAAAGGGGTAATCCCTCTCATCAATATTGTTCAATAGTATCAACTTGAACCAATTGCAGTTAAACTTAAGTTAAAGTTTCTTTAATTCAGCCTACTTTGGGTGAAAATGATCAGGACAAGCGAACATATTTGAATCTTGAGTTTGATGTGAATATTTCCTTTGAAAATACCTTTGAGCTTGTTTTCCTTCAATGCCAATGTCTTTGAGGGAATCTTCACCTCCTAAGTAAACGTAATTTCGAGCAGCATTAGTTTCGCTTTTACACCTTTCGTGAGGGCTTAACCAACGAAAATGTGAAGAGAGTGAAGAGAAAAGAAAAAGACTTTCCATTCACTCAAACTCTCAAAGAAATCCCCTCAATTATGGTAGCACATTACAAGCTAATAATATAAACTAAAGGATAAACCTTGGCAATATGAGCAGAAGATATACATATACATACATGAGTAGGTGGGCCCAAATGCTATCAAAATTGCTGCCAGAGTGACTCAATTGAAAGTCCTGAGGGCTCAAATAGCTTTAAGCCGACAAAGAGAAAAGCTCACACGCGCATATCAGTTTTGAGAGGATGTACCCGATTCTAAGGACTTTCTTGGGTGTTGTAGAGCGAATATAAATAACAAAAAAAAAAAAGAGACGCTCAACTGAATTTAAGCGCTTTTCAAAAACGCCTTCAAGCACCACGCAGCCCGTGCCCCAAGTCTCCACTTAACGCATTTATGTTGAGAACGTGATATAATAAAGAGAAACAGGCCAAAAGGAGAGAAATTCTGTCAAAAAAAAAGTAAAAGAAAACCATCTAAATCCCTCACAGCAGACTTAGTTATTCCACTGCCTTCTGACTATCAATATCAGCGATTCTGGGTAACCCTTTGCACCAATATTACTCATACACTGGACCACGCCCCATGCTCAGTGCTCAATGCTCCCCAATTCCCCAGCACCCATGTCCCAGCCAAATCAAGTCGAACGCGGCTCGCAAAAATATGCTATAGAAATTTCTTCGCACCCTTAGCGAATGCCTTGCCTCGCAAATTGAATTGAAATTCGATGGCACTTTAGCCTTGGATGGGGATGTGAATCGGAATGGGGGAAAATGGGGACAGGGCCAGGGATGGGTACGAAGGCGTATAAGGGGTCTCGTCAGGTCTTTTGGGGCATGTCTTGTGCTTGTCTATATTAAGGTCTCTCAAGCTCAGCTTCGTCCTCATCGGCATCATCATCATCATCATCATCACCGTCGCCATCATCATGCGAAGGGGGCGCATTAGGCGCGAATTTTCGAGTGCCTTTTCA